AGCGGGATCCGGCGCGGGGCCGAGGCCCAGCGAGGGCACCGAGCGGCGGAACCCAGGAGCGCTGAGCCCTCGCAGCCGCCGGTCCCGCTCCTGAATCCCTTACTCCTTACTCCTGGTTTGTGCTCCGGGAGCGGGGAGCTCGCCCGGCATCCGTGTGGGGAGAAATCAGCACTTGAGGCGGGCTGCGGTTGATAACAGGAGCCACTGAAATGCCCGAAATACCGAACAGCTGGCAAGGAAAACCTGTTTTCCTTGGGATGATCAGCAATTCTCCGCTAATGGAGATATAAATGGTCCCATCACTTTCCAACTGCTCATCCCCGATAGATTCGCTATTCAAGTTACACGGGCAGCACTGCTCTTTTATAATCTGCTCATCTAAATATTTTTGCATAACATTGCTAGCAAAAATCAAGGAATATTTACATGGGAAATGCACCCAGAATTTATGCATATAATCCACTTTTTTTTCTGTTGTTTCTTGGTGCTTTATTTCAGAATTTTCTTCAATTGCACTTAGCCTGAGCCTTGTTTTGTTTTCTCTCAATGGAAACACATTGAAAATACTGCAGAGAGATGGGAAAGTTAAATCTACCAGGATTTTACTTAGAGCTCTGGGCAGGGTCTACTTGTTTTTCCTGTAACATATTCACCTTGTAGGACACACCAGTTTTGGAACACATACAGGAATGCTGTGGGTAGTTCTATATGGGATCCGAATTTGTCCCAAAATGTGCAATATTAAAGATGACCATTTTCCCTTCATTCCTATTACCTAGATATGAAAGTTCCAATTCAAGAATGTGTTTCCACATCCACAACACTCTGGGGTAATATTAAATGAACTCTGTTTAATAAAACACATTCCAAGTTGCTATTTTGATTGAAGCATTATACTTCTTGTCTTTCTATGAGTAGTTCAGATTTCACTGGGTCATTGAAATTTTTTGAATCAGTCTCTTTTCAAATCATATTTAAAACACAGACATAAATAATTGTGACACAGATCCCTTCACAGCACAAACCAGGAGTAAGGGATTCAGTGCTGCACAGCCGGTGCTGCAGTTACCTCTCAAGATAGGAAGGAAATTTTGTCATTCTCCAAACACACTGATCGTACCTTTCATAAAACATCTTACATTCATCCAAGGAGACAATGGCATCCCATTTTGTCCTTGAATCATTGAAATAAGAGGTATTTTGATCACAAATGTCTGCTATTATCAAAACACCATCATGATTTCCACAGGATTTGAATAGATAACACAGGTGAAGCTGTGCACAGGTCTTCCCCAGCACAGGTCTCCCCTGGTGCTTTTTTTTCTGCATTGAGTTTTATCTGCTTTTAAACATTCCACCATTGAGAACA